GTGAACAACCATGCCAGCTCCAATTCTGTTAGTAAAAAATGCTGATAAAATTCGTTGGTCAACTATTGGTCGAACATCAGATGTTCCTACATGTTTGGTTCCACGATAATTTCCAAAAATCATTTTGTGGTGACTATGGGCGACAGGTAAAGTAATAGGACTTTCACATAAATGCTGAATCGTGACGCTGGCGGTAACAGGTGAGGAAAGACCAGGGTTCAATTTTCACAAACAAACGACAGCAAAACACCGGGAATCAAGTCACGTTCAAAGATGACAAACGTGTTTATGAAAAACGAGTGTTTAATAACCAAGAGAGTCTCGCGAAAAGATTCCGAAGGCCGTCTTCTGCCCAGCAGGGTTTGGGGGGACGGCGTGGAGGTTTGAGCCATGTGGGGGCGAAGGCGATCCTAGCTCCCTGCCAGCGGGCGCACGTCACAGTAGTACCGCCACATTGAACGATCGTGACGGGGAACACAAAGCCTGCAGAGCACATTTTTTAGTTAATTCACGCCAGCCCCAGCCGGGGACAGACTCACGGAGGGCTGGGGAATGGGGGGGTTGACTGCAGGTGCTCTACTCCCCCACCCTGCCTCACTAGTGCTACCCGAGGCACAGGTATCCCTGTGCTTTCTTTTACTCACCACATGTGCAAACCAACGACAGAAATGACACAATCCGCGTGACCTCAGCCCGGGAATGTGGCTGCGGGGGGGCTAGTGAAGTCTGCTCACCAGCTGCGTCGGTCGAACGGATCTAGTTAAAAAAGTTAACTAACTTGGAGGGGAGTAGAGGACTAGTCTGGGGCAGCCTCGGGGACACTGGGGAACAAGAGACTGTCGCTGTCGTCCTGTAAGGGGTAAAATAAAAATCTGCAAATGATAGAGGGAGAGAGACAAGTCTGCCCCCCCCCCCCCCCCCCCCCCCCCCCCCCCCCCCCCCCCGTGAGCCTGCTGCTCTCACACGGCACTGAATCCCAGGACTCACTTTGCAGGCTTGGTACGTATCTATAACCATATAACCAACAGCTATATCCATAACAACTCCAAAGTGCTTTCAGCAGCTGACATTCAGAACCGGGCTGTGTCCACTTCAGAAATGTACATTTTTTCAACCACAGTGTCATTATTCTTTTTTTTTTATTAATTTAATTGGTTATATTTTCATGGCATCAACAGTTTATTCATTTAAAGTTCTGGCAAGACTTCAAACCAGATTAATCAAGACGGGATATAATTAGTAAGCTAAGATGGTATTTTTGAAGTACATCACGTTAGTGGGTTTGTAATACGGGGCAGACAGAGTCCTGCTCTTAGAATCACCCCCGCAATCAGCATTTTCCTTGTTTATTTATAAGGAATTTGCCAAAAAGGGTTTCCTTAAATATAAATGATTGTACGCGGTTTCCGATGACCTGCATGGATTACACAGCAATTATTCAAATCTAAATACCACATAACTCTCATACGAACCTTGTAAACAGGTCATCTACTCTGTGTGTCTACAGAAAAACAAAGTTATCATTCCAGCAGGCACACGGCATTTCAGACAGACAGATATTCTGAGGTGCAACAGAAAAGAAATCGCATTTTAATCTTAGAGGGAGTGAGATTTCATAACATCCTCATTAATATTTCTGCTTGGCCTTAAAATGATTAAAATCAGTTTTCTCATAAATAACCATTTAAAGAAAAACAAAAAAAATGCTTTTCAGTGATACAAATAATAACATAACCCCATACAGGTATTAATATTTCACGCCCAGAAACTGTCAGCCATGCAGACTGATCTGAGGTGTGTGTACATGAAACGTTCAGTGCGACGTATAATTCTGCACAGAATCCACTTCACAGGCCGCATTAACGAGTGTGAATCTGAAACGCGCGTCAGTAACACTTGGTATTTTCTGTTATAAGGGCGTGCGACACCTCTGCCCCCCCACAATCGCGGGCACTTGAAATGCGACGTCTGACCCCCTCCATGTGCTGGAATCTCTCGAGTGAGAGGCAGCGGAACAGTCCTACCACCCGGTTTTTGGGGCTGCTGCTCAGGAAGGGGGCCGTTTGGTCATAACGTGAGTCGTGCAGCACAAACGAGTTCAGCAGGGACAGTTCTGCATGAAACACACAGCTAGGTGGCATGGAGAGACAAAGGCAGGGCTGCGTTCTTACACTTCCTTGTTTGTTTGTCATGTCATCCCCGGCTAGATCACTCCCAAAGTCTGTAAATGAGCCCACAGCCCTACTTTTCATCTCCCAGTCTCCTCTGGTCATGTCGCAGCCTGTCCCATTTCCTCCTGTCACCTCTGGTCACCAACGCCCCCCCCCCCAAATCCCGATCAATATCTCTCACAGCTGCCTGCCGCTAAGGCAGAGGCCACACGAGCAAGTTCCCCACCGTGTTCCGTCTCACTGCGGCATGACAGGAAACCATCGGCGTGTTTTTTTTTTAAGGGTCCCGGCCTGGTACGCCGGCTGTAGAAAGCGGCCGCGATCCTGGTTGATGGTGACGGCAATGACGTCGAGCGGCCAGGGAGCCCGACGCTTCACAGGGTGGTGTTTTAGCCCCGGCACCTGTCTAACCACGCAGACATTGGGTCCCTCTCTGGTCAATGAGAGTTAAACCCAGCCCAGCTGTGGGTATCTCAGTGTGAGATGCATCCTGGCAAGTGCTACACAGTCTCATGTTCATCATCATCATCATCAACATCATTATTATTATAGAATGAATCTTATAAATGTTCACATTTATGCAGCTGGACTTTTTATAAGTTACGAGATATCCCTTTCAGGACCACAGCAGCACCTCTCCTAGGATGTGACCCGCTAACCTTCCACGTTATCGGTCAGTGTCCTTAACCAACACTCGCCTAGTTGCACCCCTGTCCCCCAAGCTAACCCAGTCTCCATGACTGAAGTCTCTCCTGAAGACTGTTCTTAAAAGCCGTCGGTTCGGTTTGAAATTAGGGCAGAATGGGGTATATCAGAGCTGCGCGCTCTTGACCTTGCATCGCTCTAGCATATAATCCTGGATACCCCGATAATGCCTTAGATGGGAGGAGGGGCAATATTAAACACGAAGAGCTCAAAAACTCGCAAATAAAATTAATATGCACGTTTTTAAATCTTATAAAGGAGGGAAAGTTTGCCCGCGTCACTAAAGTAAAATGCATCACAATACACTGACCATCAAACGCAGTTTTTCCCACATATTCAGATAGATGGATGTCGGCTCTACCCTCAGACCTGAATTACTGAATTACAATAATAAGATGACATGCATGAACTACGAAAAAATGTATACATCGCAAAAATATTGACTGCTAAGAAAAAAAAGTTTTGCAATAGTAAAAACTCACACTGAAAATGATTCCAAATATACAACCGCAGTATTGTTAACTTTCTGATAAACAAATGCATTTAAAAAATATATATATATATATATATATATATATATATATATATATATATATATATATATCCAATAGATAACGTTTGTAACGTTTGCTTTAATAATTCATGGACAGACACATGACATGAAGTCGTATGTTACAGGATTTCTATAAAGAAAATATTGTCTAAGGAAGCACAAATGCGAATGATAACGTATATATATCACGTGCACTTTAGAGACGTTATTATATATTTACGAATTAGTTACACGCACGAAAATCTCTGCATTTCCGCGCGGTGCATTAAACTTTAAACATCCGCGTTTTTACCGCTGTAGGGTATTACTTTTAAATTATGTTTAAGTGCAACTTTAAACTTTAAAGCCCCGTAAATAAAGCATCCTTTCGTGTCAATGTAAGTTTATAATAACAATTATTATTACTATACGCATTATTTATATTGGTAGTAATAATTAGTTGTGTTATATTTGTAATATTTTATTATTTATTAGCATCTTATTAAAATCGTGAACTTGAATACGATCATTCCAATAATTCATCTTAAGTGTACGGTGGTGAGGATAATGTTTAATATACAAAAGCTATCTAAATTGTTTTCTGTAAATTGTTTGCTATTTGAAATACAGTAAAACATAATACATAAAATAGCGCTTTTAATGGATCACATTAATAAGTTCATCTAAAATAATTTATCATAATATTTGTATTTATTTATTATTGTCGTTACAACTGGTATACTTTATTTATACATAACATATGTTATGTACAAACACACAGGGTACATGGATTTAAAATAACCTCAGATTAAGAAATATGGATGCAACTATTTCCTCGGTTAACTTTTTTTCTACTTCATGGAATATAATAGGCCCACTTGACGGTTTGTTTTGTTTTTGATCGTGTGGGAAAGGATAACGGTCTGGAATTACTTTTGTTCCTGGGAAGTGGCGGTGATTTTGGCTTTGGGTGCTGCAGACATTTAACAGCGTGCTGCCAACTTAAACACGCCCGGTGTCTAAGTCTCCAGCCCGCCAGCTTCGAGAACACGCGTCGGACCCAGTTTAGGAGATTAACCGCGACATTATCCATAGGCATGCCCGCCTTTGGGTGAAGTACGAGGACTTTTCACGAAACACGTTCAAAAGGCGTTTCCGTCGCCTGTCACGCCAAAGTAACTCTGCATCCACCAAGTGCATCGATCGCGTTTGCGGTTCGCGCATTTGTTGCAGACGCGACGGCCGAGGATTAAAATGCGCGAACAGACTCGAAGATACTGAAGGGGCGACTTCCCACTTTTTTTGATTTATTTGCATTTATGAAAAAAAAAATCGCCGATCGCAAACGTTTTTGCCCGGGTAACAAAATTATTCGCTTACTCACTTTTGCATATTTAAATTCAGGATTTCTCTCATTCTCTCATTTTGGTCACATTTAAAAACGCAATATGATAATACGCGTAACGGGGAATAACACTCCCTCTACCTAATGTCATACGTAACCACGCATGGATGCATCACCGTGTATTTGGACAGTATAGTTTGCATTGTTTCTTCCGTAGCCCCACGAAGCGCTGCCCGCCTGCGTTTACCTCTGTGCCGCCGTGTTCGCATCCAGTATCCCCGCACTCTGCATCCACGAACGGACCGGCGTCATGCCGCTGGTAAGGGGCTCTTCTTTCATGGTCAAGGCTCCCCGCGGGAGGCTGTCCTGGATGGAGAACATGAAAAGAGCCTTCGGGGATCTCTTCCTTAACACCAATTCAAACTAAATAATCCTCCTTCAATCTCAAAACAAGGCCACCTGGATTAACAAAACCAGCTGAAAGGGGGTAAAAAATCTTCCCCGAAGTGCAACAAGGGAAAGCAAGCGAGGTCCTTATCCAAAGACGAGCTCTGTATCCCTCTGGGTTTTCGTCTTTATTTTAGATCCCAAACCAAGTTCAGTGCACTCAAGATTAACCGTTCTCAAGTTAAATGAGGGGGGAGAAAAGGCAAGTGTTAGAACCGTAAAGCATCTCAACGGACGTTCATCAGCCGGGATCTTGAAGACCTTTTCGTTGACGGGAAAAAGAGGAGAGAAGGCGAACTTGCTCAGAAGAAGAAGGCGAACATACGCGCACGGGATTGTGAAATGAAAACTGGGATAAAACAGGCGACTGCTTCAAAAAGGAGTAAAATGAAATGATTACCAAACAAGAGGCAGGGATGGACCAGGGAAGGCTTGGTGTCCCTGGGGAAAAGGGGGATTGGGTAGCAAGAAATCTCATTCCCTCCCTCCCCGTCTCTTTATGTCTCCTCTGTCCCAGCGGAGCGCACCTTCTCTCGGGTTCGGAGGCTCTTGGCTCTCGGGGGGGACAAGCATGGACTTGGCAAAGGCGGAGAAAAATCCTTAAAAGGCAAAAATATTTTAATATAATCCACGCCCCTCGTTACCCATTGGATAGAGTCACTGCTTGCGTCATTTTTTAAATTCGCCGCAAAAAATTTCAGATCTGTGCAGCAGGAAAACTGTAAATGGCTCTGCAAAAAGCGTACGTTTGTACAGGAGCTCAATTCCAGTGTTTAATGCCACAGTAAGGAAGACCAGTCTAAATGTTATAAACCAAAATTTGCATAAAACTCTAGGCTACAGAAAACATTTTATTCACAAACGTTCTAACCGATGAGAAATCAGGAAACGGGAATATAGTAGCCTACGTGTTGTGGCAGGCAAATGATTGCACAAATTAACAGTATATGGGGGAGAAAGATGTTTGTGGTAAATAAACAATCAGCATTGCTTATAAGTAACAAATGAGGACTATTAGTCGCTGATTCTGAAAATTATGGTCGGGGTGATGCCGCTTTACAAAACGTTTATGATATTCCTTTGCATCATGCAGCTGCTGTTTGGACTATTGCAAATCGATTATTTTACAAACCGGTAAAATCCAAAGTATTTTAGTTCCATTATCATGTGTCACGATGGAATATCTGACGGAACCGAATACGGTCCCGTTTTCTGTTGCCATCGTGAATTTTAATACAGTAACTCTCTGCTGACATGTTCAACGCCGGGGTCTGGAGTAGACTATATCAATGCCGCTCGTGCAGAGATACTTGAAATTGTTTGGACATAAATGCAGATAGAATTTACCACTACAAATATGTTTAATGACATCTAACTGGCTGATGTATATGTACAAAACAGCTAGTTTATTTTAGCGTTACCATGCGCTGTGTTTTGCCGTCAATATAATGAAGTCACCGGCCGCTGTACAAAACACGAAGATTTCAGAGGTCAGGTATAAAGTGACAATCAATAAGAGCAATTACCTATTTAGACATTTACCTGAAAGAGCCCGTTATATCCTATTGCAACTGACAACTGACATCGCTACATTTTTCTCTGTATTTCTTGTACTTTACTTTTAATAATAAATAACACATTGTATTATTATATATGTCATATTTATTTCATTAGCACGGTTACATTATTATTATTATTATTATTATTATTATTAGATAACGCAAATACGTATTTACCCATTAACAATTACATTTAGGATATTTAAAATTATAAACTTCCAGTTATTCTGACTTGCCAGAAAACAAATATCATGAAACTGACTCGATACGAAGTAGTATCTCATCAAGGGCAATATTTTATCCTTAATTAGAAAAACTGAAATGAAACCCAGATTAAATATTTATAAAGCTGTAGTCTTACCGACTTTGCAGCTCAAAAGTGGTCCCACAGGAATATCGTGGAAAACGCCTGAAAGAAATGGATTTAAGCGCAATTCCCTTTCTTAAATTAGCCAGTATCAAATTGGGTTTAAACAGACTCAGGTTCTAATTAACGCAAAGTTTCATTTACCGATTTTGTTAAGTGTTGCGCGAAATCGGAAGCGTGTTGTTCAAAAATTCACAAATTAAAAATTTAAGAAGTACGTCAATTTCCACTGGAACGTTGTGTATCTTTTTGTTTTTATACCGAGGCTAATGTATAGTTTCCTTCAGCTGTTGCCGAATGCATAAAATATTGTAGTAGATCCTTATAATGGATCATTTTCTGACAGATGCAAATTATTTGCCCTACGTGTAAACGTGAAACTCGCGAATAAAATATGTAAATCTATATATTCTCCTTGTTTTTTTTTATCTACGTGTTTTTAATTGTTGGACAGCAGTATTTTTTTGGAGTGTCAGTTTTATTTTAACAAATGAAAGAAGACGTTTCGCGTACAAAAGCTATGTAATCACACACTGCATTTACGACGTAACATTAGACTAAGGTAATTCAGAAAATAATTATCATCGCATATATACACTTGGTATATTTTATAGCAAACACTAATACTGAAATATCAATATAAAAATATGAAAACTATAAAGAGCATTATAACTCATAGCGCATCTCTAACTCCCAGCTATTGTTGCGTATTTCTGTAAAATTAGATTCTGTAAACCCAATTATAGGTTTGACGGGCGTATGAATATAATAATAATAAGAAGAAAATGAAGAATACTACTAATAATAATAATAATTATTATTATTATTATTATTATAATTGCTATTAATGAGATTGTAATCATGTTACTTAAAGTATGCTTGAATTCTTAATGAAAAAAATATCCGTGTTAAATTTATTAGGTTAGGCTGCCGTATAAAACTTTAAACTTAGTAAGGAAATTCAACAAGAACGATGTTTACTCATGTTTTTTTTTGGTTTTTTTTTGCACAAACTCTGTGTGTGGATTCCTCAATAATCTTCTATATTTAAAACCCAGAATCACGATTCTAGCATCCATTCACACGCGTTTCGCAGGTAAATACCAACGTTGTCAGCAGTGAGAGCCTGGTCGTCCCGAAAGGGTGATGGACAGGCTTACAAACATGCCCTAAAGCACAAATAATTGACTAAATCGACAGCGCGCAGCAGAAACTAAGACCTGCGGATGTTATGGCATGCGCCGCGCTCCTGCGGAGGGGACAGACAATCATATGGGGGCAGCTACACACACACCTAGTGGTGTATCACTTTCAATTATACAGCAATCCTAATTCCCGATATACCCCAGCGCTGCTTGTAATCCGCCTACTGCAACCGGAATCTCCTGGCAAAAGCTCCTGGCACAACCGAGGAGGCAGGCCAGGTCCCGTATACCCATCAAAGCCGCTTATCCTACCCTGTAGATTTGCAGGCGGTCTCTGCGGGCCCACACCCACCCACTAAGAGACACTCCGCAATTCCCCCGCATTCTGGTATCAAAACTGCGCGAGGGAATTCTGGCGGGGAGGCAAGAACTGGGATCCCACAATCGATGCCACAGGATTTGCAGAGCTAATGACACCGAAGCTGGTTGTCTCGGAAGTTACGTGCTATCAACAAGATTGACTGCATAGAGGCACCAATCCTTCAGCCAGCTACAGTCCCAAGCTGCACCAAATATCTTTACTACTCAGAATTCCTCTAAACTATATAATCAATCATTTGTTTCCACGAGCTACATTGTTGCATTAGGCTTTCACTGTCAAGTGGGCAATATTATATTTATTTTGATGAGACGAGTACAAGAAAGTCACGATGTCAAGGCTCAATTTAACAATCGGTAGGGAACAACAAAAGCATGCACTCCGAAATACATTGCAGTAGACGCGGTAGATATTAAAAGTAAAGTCGAACCGTAATAAGAGGCGCGGATATATGTGCAATTATTTCTCTTGTCTTTGTCTCCCTCTTCTGTATATAGTGTGGAAGTACAGCTACATCTTTCCGACAAATTTTAGTCGCGTAAGCCAAAAATGAGTCGCAATACTGTCATAATACAAAAACATAATGAATCCGTCATTGAACCATATTTGTAGGTGACAAATGCCGTAGTTCAGATGTAAAATGTGAAAGAGAAATATTGTGGGGAAAAAAGTCAGTGATAGGCCTATTCTTAAATAACAATGTGGCTCGTGGTGTTTTTCTTTTTCTTTTCTTTTTTTTTTAAAGTTCTTTTGTAAAAGTTATTTTGAAACCCTTTATATGACACAGGCCCGGGGGCAACGAGGCCAACGATAATCTTTAGACCAGTGAAACATCCGTCTTCCAGGTTCATTTTTGATTTTATTTGTTATTGATGTGTGAGGAAATGAATTTAGAAAAGAATTCCTACTTGTTGGTGGTTAATACATATAGGCTATATGAACAAACTCCCAAAGAGTATTTCTAACAACTTCTCGTGAATTGTGTACTTCAGGCAATTTCAAGCAGCTAGTGAAATGGTATGTTAAACCTCACGGAAGCAAGATTAGACATGTGAAATGCGTTTAAAAAATGAAAAGGTGGAGAAACAGACGGCGATTCCGACCGAGATTTTCGCCTGGATTTAGTAGAATGGAATAGTGACGTCTAGCGTTTCAAGTTAGCGAGAGGCTGCACCTGCGCATGTGTTTAGAAATAAAAGGTGAATGGAATGTAAAACTCGAATCCGTATGTTTTAATTGTCTAAAAACTGCCACACAATTAAAAATCAATAAAAATCACAGAAAAGAAGCAGGAAACATGAGCAGTTGACGGTTGATTTTGCAGAATGTTGCATAATTTTACTCCTGTAGCTTAACAATGAATCACAATGGAGACTGTAGATTTCAATATGTGACGTCTCTACAGCGGTCAGCCCGTCACGCTCTTCTACGGGGACTATACTGCCCCCTTTCTACAGAGTCTGGTTTTCCTCCCTATCTGACAGATTGCCAAATGTCGGGTCTTATTCCACTTCTGAGACAAAAGTCAGCATTTCCACTTGGAAGCATATGCGGTGAGACTTACGCCCTAGTTTTCAAGCAGCAATGCTGACTACTTCGCCAAGGCTTTTAAGGTTATCCTGCCTGCACTAGTTTACCAAATCGTCCAAATATCAGACCATTCACTGGACGGTGACGGGCAGGCCTGCACATAACCGGCGCGGAGATACGCATTTGCCACATATAAAGCTGTACGCACGGTAATTTTTTCATAAAATAAGTAGGCCTACGCATTCGCAGTTGCGTACCAGTCATGTTCATCACTAGTGATATGGCAAAATTCAGTCTTTAAGCCTGAAGGCTGAGAATACTGTAGTGGGATTTTGTGATACTGTTTTGGGGTGAAATTTATTTAGAATAGACTACATAATCAAAATTATATATGCAAATGTTTCACGGCCACGAAGCTCCCGTTCATGTTCTTTGTACAGATTCGCGCAAGCTACTTAAAAGGTTATTTTACTTGATTGGTTTTAGCTGCTGTTATTGAAGAGATGTCAAAAGCGTCCAATCGGAGGAATTACCGCATGCTTTTATTCAATGGAAGGTTAAACCCTGCGGAAGTTAATGACGTGATCCATGGGCAGTTATCAATAGTACACATAATCCTATCCACTGTGAGTTTCAATACCTCATTTTTCATAAAACTAAAATGATTGTATGGTGGGTCTCTCTGTAGCTCATCACATTCAAAAGACCAAGGGTTGTGGATCCGAATCCCACCATCGCCACTGCTGTCTACGAGTTTGCTACTAAAGGTATGTGGATTACGTCGTCAGATGGCAGATTCACTGTAGTGAGTGCAATACTCTGGAATCTTGTCTATGGTACCCCCTGCCCCGTGCTGGTAGCGGTAGAATCTAGATTTACCCTTATTACACGATGGGTATTGTTTGTAGATGAATTGTCTACAAATTTCCACAAGATGGCACTGTAGGCTCTAAAATGATCATTTTCTCTGAACCGACAGGTTTAACCAGTGGTCCTTCTCCATATCCTGACAGCACAGCAGATTTGAACTAAGCATGGGTATCATGGGTATATATTGGCTTAAATCCAAGAAGGACATCAGTCTCATCACCTTTTTAACCAGTAAATTTTTGGCTGTGTAATAATAATTTACGAAACTCTTAATTTGACTGACAGCAAAGATATAATGTTTACTAAGCAACTAAATACAAATATAGTTTACATTTTCTCAATACTGTTTATTTCATATTAAGCTCCTGTACTTTTTTGTAAAATATTATTACTTTATTGTTGTTTGTGGATTTCTTATACAAAGAAACATTATAGAACAGATATATACGGTATTACCCCAACATAAAAATAAAAGCCCCATTTTAAAAAGAACAGCCTTGTTTTAAAAAAAATGTATCGGAACACATATTGTATTAGAAGCAGACATTATCACATCTTAAAATAATGGAACTTTACACGTCCACAGTTCTTCAGGGGATTTCATTTATGACATATAATTCTGCTGTTGCTGGTGCAGTGACACTGAAGAGAGGCCTCTGGTTAAGAGGAAGACTGGACACACCTCCTCAGTGAACATGGCAGTGAACGTGTGCAGGTGACTCACTTCACCCGGGAGGACTCTGTAAAAGAACAGGGTGCCGACGGGACAGTCCAGATACAGTCCTATTCTGCGGGGGGGGGCACGAGCAAGTAATATAGTGACCTTCATTTTGTGTAGCACAAGGTGACCAGGTTTGCCAATAGCGTGCAAATCCTCACCAGTGTCAAAGTATTCATCTTCATCATAATCTTCCTCATCATTGTTACCAAAAGCACAAACATAATCATCTGATATTACATCATCTATTTCTGAGGAGGTACATTTACTTTCATTGTCATCATCCTTAATGTCATTGCATATCAGAAACCAAGATTTGTCACTCTAAAAGAGTATTGGTGTTGCCGTCCAGTTTACCACACAATTTTCTGTCAGCCAGTCCAACTCCAACAGATCCCTCCCACTCAACCTCCCAATAACAGTGCTCCCCAGTGAAGCTCTCATTGCAAACCACATGGTGAATATCATCAGGTCTCTCCTGCCTTTTGGGATTTGTCACGTCCTCCTTTTCAAGAGTCACCTTCCAGTTTCCTTCGGATATAGGCAGTCTCCCCTTGGCTGTGCAAGAGTCTAGTGAGAGACTACAGGCATCTAAAGGTAAAAAGAGACTATATTTACACATATCACACAGATGAAGCATGTGTTTTATACGGAATTATTGTTGTCTGACCACTTTTTATTCACTGCTTGTTCAGTTATTACAACAGATCTGTGGTAAATTATTGCTGAAAGTTTTACCAGAAACACCTAAACTATTCAAAATAGCCTAATTGTTTAATTAGATGTTGAAAGTAATGTTCTGCATTTACAAACATATAAAGAGATCGCCTGCAATGAAGGTTCAGTAAGTGCAAGAAATGATGGTCAAAAACCTACATTTCCACAGTCCAGCTTTATTTCACCGCTCCCCTCCATGCTCAGTCCTGTGAGAGACAGCATTTCTTTCATGCATTTTTTAAAACATTTGGCATGCTAATCAAAAAAATAAAAGTTGTCATCAGGGGGCCCTTACGGTCGTATTTTTAAGAATAAATAACACAAAAAATTAAAATAACACTAATTTATTGTAAAAACAGGAATTATCTGACAAATACACAACTTATATATACTATATATGTATATTAATATATTTACTGAAATTAACATGTGTGTGTTTGGCTTTCAGCCTCAGTTTCCCTGGGATGCTTCGCCTTCCACTGTGCCCCTGGTCAAGGAGTGGTACCGGGGCAGTAAGGCGGCACGGACTCGAGCCCGACATCTCCCAGAGAACCAGGCCCAATGACAGAAGACCTTTGCCGACTGACAATGATGCCCAGCTCACATTTATTGCAACGTGTCGGGTTGTCAATGAAAAATCTGAAATTGCCCACATGCAAGAAACATACACAGCTCCTGGCTGCGTCTGAATTCAGGGGCTGCATCCTTCGAAGGATGCGGTCTAGGTAGCCTTTAGGTTGCTTACTATGGAGGTTCGATTACGCAAATATTTTTAAAAGGATCAATTAAAATTTGCCCTATTGGTTACTTGACAGTGTGGTGGAGGGAAATTGGTCCAAATAAAGAGCAAAAACCTTAGTTGTGTTGAAGCATTTCACATTGAATGAATATGCAGTTGCCAGTCAATATTGCAAAGCAGAACTTGAGTATCCCTGGGTCTTGTGAAGGAAGTGAAGGAATAAGGGAGTGGGAGATCGACAGGTGGATCAGTGCAACGTTGGCAGTAATGCAGACTAGAAATGTCTTAATGAAGCCTTGTGAACTATTTGTTGTATGTTTGACCCGATTACATGGCGCTCTTGGGTTGTTTGGGACTTGCTTTGAGCTCTTTTTTGAACAGAGAGCACCATCTAGTGGGGTCAGAAAATATAGCAAATGGTTCATGATGCATCATTTTGCCATCATAATGTGGACACTGTACCATTCTGTTGTGGTAAAGAGGGGCTGGAATTTACCCGTTGATCTACATTTCTGCCCTCACCTAAGGTCACAAGTTTGGGTAGTGACCGAAAGAACGAGATCGTGGATACAAGCAGCATTAATGAATTTCCTCCACAGGGTGTCTGGGCTCAGCCTTAGATAGCATGTGGAGCTCAGACATTCAGGAGGGGCTCAAAGTAGAGCCGCTGCTCCCCCACGTCAAAAGGAACCAGCTGAGGTGGTTTAAGCACCTGCCTAGGATGCCTCCTGGATGCCTTCCTCAAGAAACTGTTCTTAATCTGGAATAACTGCATTTTCTTCCATAATGAGGAGTGAATCTTTTAGAATATTCGTATTATGCTCCACAAGCTGTACCTGGCACACATTACATGGACCACAAGATATTGCACTTAGGTCAGCTCCTCCAAACTACACTGAGGATCTTGTAGCCTGGCAGTGAGCTGTACCAGGCCAGATGCCCCTGGTTGGTTGTAGCTGAGATCCAGCTCTTTTAGATGGGAGGAGTTTGATTGGAGTGTCGAAGCCAGGGAGAGAAAGCTGCCCTCTGTGATGCAACAGGCTGACAGGCTGCAGATTAAAAGATATAAAATCATCAAATCACCTGTATAGAAGACCCTTACAACACCACTGATTCAATCAATATCCAGGCAGTACGATTACTGCTTTCAAAAAGCTAATATGGTTGTTCTCCTAAAAACAGTTAATTTAAATATGATAAAAAAGTAAAAAGGTGAGTTTCTTACCCCAGTGTCTGGAGCTTACAGTCTGGGTCTCCAGCAGCATCAAAGACATATACAAAAGGTAATGGGCTCTTGGACCACCTGCAGGAGTGTGCCAATCGGAAGTCCCTTAGGTAGAAATGTAAGAGCTTGCTACTCACCCCAGAATTTGAAGTTTACAGCATGATTTCAACAGCTCCGCACAGAGGAGCATTACTGCATTGTCCCCAATTTTGTTGCAGTGGAGGAAAAGTGCTTGGAGTTCACAGCTGGACAACTCCAAGGTATTGCAGAGGATCTCCACAACTGACTTTCGCAGATTATTGCCACTGAGGTCCACCGTGCACAGTCTGTTATATGGAAAATCCAGTGCAACACACAAGCTTTTCAGCCCTGAATCTTGCAGATTGTTCTGGCTGAGATTCAGATTTTGTAATTTATTATGCGGGAGTCTTAGCACACCTTCCAGGGGTATTAATGCAGAGGGTCCCAGGATGTTTCTGTTCATATCTAAAGCCTGTATTTCACAGTGTTGGTTTTTCATTGCAGAAAAGAGCCAATACGCACCGGACTCTGTCAGCTTGCAGTCGCTGAGATTTAAAACTTGAAGCTTACATTGTCAGCTGCTCAGTCCCTTACAAAGCAGACGGGCTTCTTGATCTCCCAGATGGTTGTTGCTGATATCGAGCTCTTTAAGGTATGAAAACTCAAGAGCAGAGGATACAACAGCGCAGCATTTGCCCTTGAGATCACAGTTGTTCAATCTGCCAACAGAATTTAAAAGCCTTTAAAGTTTTACACCTAAATCACTGAGCCAAAACATTATAAACTTGTAAAAACGAAGCATGTTGACATCTGAGAAATAAAAGATGAGCTCATCTTGTCTCATTAGTCACTCGACCATCAAAATTATCTGAAATTTGTGCCACAGTAGCCCTCCTGTCGGTGCAGGATATCTTTCATTCTCATCTTGGATTGACAAGTCTTGGCCACCTAACACCCATAGTTCATAGTTTTCTGGTCTTTCGACTACTGTCAGTAGGTACTAACCACAGCTGACCATGAGTTCCCTGCAAGCCTTGCCATTTTGGAGATGCTGACGCAGTCGTCTGGCCATAATGATTTAGCCTTTCTAAAAGTCACTCAAGTTTTTCCTCATGTCTATTTCTTTTGCATTCAATACGCCAACCATAGGCACCGAATATTAGCTGACCACCTAATATACCCCAGACCTTGACGTTTGCTGTTTTTACGAGAATGCTAATGCTATTTGCTTCGTGTGGGGGCGCTCATAAAGTTTTGGCTCATCAGTGTATTACAAAATAAATATTTTATAATGAAATAAATTTCTTTATAAAATGCAGATGGCAAAAACACAATGCAAATCTAACTGGAGAATTACTTCATATCATTTTCTGTCATCCTTGAGGAATGATAACAAACAAACATGCTGATGAAACTAAATTGATTAGGAGGAACAAAATGTGTATGTAAAATGACTTTTCATTGTCACCTGTACTTGTTACCATGTTTACATCAAAAAGATAAGTCAAAAATAATTTCAAATATATATTTTTCATTGTGTGCTCCATTTGTAAACCATTAATCATTAATTGTAAACCAAATAACTAGGTACCTTGCAGACTTGGAGGTTCTCATTATGGGAAGTAGTCTCATCTTGCCTTTGTTGGATGTGTTGTACATCTTCAAGTCAAAATCAACAAGCGCATCCACTGACATCAGCCGAATGTACGCCAGAGCCGAACACTGTTCCGGCGTTAGCTGCTCCTGGCAAAGACTTCTTGATTTCAGAGAAAAATGCATGTTCATCACCAAGGAATTGTTACTCAACTCGGTCAGACAATGAAACAGGCTGATGGTCTTTTCTTGGGGGAGCTTTTCTTTGATCTTCTTATTGATTAATGTGGCCATTCCATTAATGATCATAAAGTTGCTTTCTGGCAGTTTCAATAGACTTTTCAAGAGTGACCGATTAGAGTCTAATAAGAGACCAAGAAG